CCCAGGCTGGAGTACAGTGGCATGATCATGGCTCACTGCACTCCTGGGCTCAAGTGATCCTTGCACCTCAGCCTCCCAAGTAGCTAGGACTTCAGGTGTGTGCCACCATGCCTAGCTAAGTTTTTAATTTTTTCTAGCAATATGGTCTCACTATGTTGCCCAGTCTGGTCTCGATCTCCTGGCCTCAAGTGATCCTCCTGCCTTGGCCTGCCAAAGTGCTGTAATTATAGGCATGAGCCACTGCGCTTGGCCATCAGGAGCTTTTTGTTGATTGCTTTGAATTTTCTACATAGACATTCATGTCACCTGTGAACAAGGACAGTTTTATTTCTTCCTCCCAATCTATATACATTTTATTTTATTTTTTTTTGTCTTATTACATTAACTAAGACTTCCAGTACAATGTTGAAAAGCAGTAGTGAGAGAAGACATCTTTGCCTTATTTCTCATCTCATGAGAAAGCTTTTAGTGTTTTTTTTTTTTCCATTAGGTAACATATTAGCTGTAGGATTTTTGTGTTCTTTATCAAATTGAGGAAATTCCCTTCTATTCCACATTTTCTGAAAGCTTTTATTATGAATGGGTATTGGATTGTGTTCAGTGCTATTTATATCATGTGACTTTTCTTATTTAACATGTGGATATGACAGATTACGTTAATTTTTGAATGTTGAACCAGCCCTGCATACCTAGGATAAATCCCACTTGGTTGTGGTGTATACTTCTTTTCATATACTGTTGGATTCAATTTGCTAATATTTTGTTGAGGATTTTTGCATCTATGTTGAGGATATTGGTGGCTACTTTTCCTTTCTTGTAATGCCTTTGTCTAGTTTTGGTATTAGGGTGATACTGGCTTCATAGAATGGGTGAGGAAGTACTCCCTCTGCTCTTATCTTCTGAAAAGTGATTGTAGAGAATTGGTGTAATTTATTCCTTAGATGAAATTCTTCCTTTGTAGAATTCACTAGCAAACCCATCTGGGCCTGGGGCTTTCCCTTTTGGAAAGCTATTAATTATTGATTTAATTTCTTTAATGGATATAGGCCTATTATGATTGTCTATTTGTTTTATATATTTTTAAGACTATATTTTGATTTTTTTCTGAGAAAAGATTGCTGAGTTCATGGAAGTTAAATACACATGGGCTGCGACTCCCCTGGAAACAAAGTGTGGGTGCTCTCAGGGATGGCTTGGCTGGCTGAAGACCAGCTTTGGGATGTTACATCCAGCATTCTGCTATGAGGTTTACGTTTGCATGTGTGTGTTGGAGGAGGAACCTGTCTTCTTGCCCAATTAAGCTGGGAGCCTGCCCACCTCTCCCTAGCTCGTCTTCCTCTGTGTCTGTCACCTCCCAGCATTCCAGGATACATAGTCTTGCCTGAGGCTGGGGGTTTCACATCATTCTGGGGACTCTTTGCCACACCTCACCAATGGGACATGGGTGCTCAGGAGCATGGTTCCCCCATGGGACACTTAAGCCTCAATGGGCCCCCACCTCAGCGCCTTTGCACCCACTGTTCCTGCTGCCTGGGACCCTCTTTGCCCAGCCTCTGTATGGATGGCTTTCCTCCCACTCCTCAGAAAGTTTTCTGACAACTCCTGGAAGCCTTCCCTGCCCCTCCCATCTGCTGTCACCCTCCATTTTAGCCCTCTTTCTCAAGTTGCTTTATTTTCCTCCTAGAACACATCAGTATCCACAAGTCACATCTGTGGACCTGTTTGTTGTATCTGCTGCCATTAAGGTCAGCTGCATGAGGGCAGGGCCTTGCTTTATCCTTGCAGAGCTTAGACCCAGGCCTGACCCAGAATGGATGCACAGGCAGTATATGGGGATTGAGCAGAGGATTCCCTGCTCTGGACATGCCTCACCAGTGCCTCAGGCTGACCCTGCCCTGCCCAGTTCTTCTGGAGGCAGGTGTCCTGCAGTAGACTGAGTGGCCACACCCAGCAGGAGGGACCATAATAACCTCAGGTGGGCTTCAGGTGAGAACTGGGCAGCCACCTGACTACTTCTGCTGCCTCTCTGGTTGGAACTGGGAGGCCAGGATTTTCCCAAGGCCTTAGCCACTTTGCCATGCTGGACAAGCTGTGTTTTAGGCCTGTCCCCAGAAGCCCAGTCCTGGGTGACCAGATGGCCCTCACCCATCCCTACCCATCTCAGCCCCACTTGGCCCCAGCTTGCAGGATGGCATGACTCACCACGCCCATGTCCTCCTGCTCAGGGCTGCACCCACTCCCGTCCCCGTTACGCTGCTGAACAACAGTGGGGGACACACTTCACAGCAGCCCACAGGTGGCTTGGCCTTCCCCAGTTCTGTGCCGTGAACACCCACTCTGGTCTACGAAATATGAAGCAGCAGCAGCTTCCAGGCCCTTCTGAGCAAATGACTGCTTTGGGCGCCTGTGTGAAGTATGTTAGTGCTGCCAGGAACTGGGGGGTCAGGGTCGCTGTGGATCTCCAGCCACTCCAAAGGCCCCCCAGGAGCTTGGCGGCAGCAGAAGGAGCCTAGGGTGGAAGCTCCTTGGAAAGGCCTGGCTCTAGCCATGGGCTGCTTCAGGGTGGGCACAGGTGCCTGGGCCCTGCCCACCCCCAGCTCCAGCACCCTCTCTCCAGGATCCGGCCCACAAACGGAGCTTCACATGGAGCTTTTCAGCCAATCTGGACCAGGCCAGGGCCGTGGACAGGGGTGGGGGCTGTTCTGCCAACTCGGCTCCCAGTGCAGAGGGATCCCAGGATGAGAGTGGCAGGGAGCCCCCGCTGGCCACCGCGCAGTACCTACATGCGGATCTGCGTGTGTTTCAGGGTGCGGCTCAGCTCCTCCAGGGTCTCCTCCATCTCCTGCCTGTTCTGGATCAGCGACAGGTTCTGCTCCTCCAGCTCTCGGAAGACATCCAGGAGCTGCTGGGGCTCCGTGAAGTACAGCTGTGGTTCCTGCAACCCACAGGTTTTGGCAGGGACTGGCCAGGGACAGAGCCAGAGGGGCAGGGATAGGGGCACGGCAAGGGAGGGGCGACTTCTGAATTCCAGTACAGCACTGGGCCATTCACCTCCCCATCGCTGTCGGTGTCTTCCTGCGTGAGGGGGATGGGAGAGTTCGACCTGCGAAGAGATGGCAGGGTCGGGACTCTGGGACCAGCCTGAGCAGACAGGAGCCCGGGGAGGGGCACAGAGGTCTTGAAGGCATTGTCAGCATCCCCATCCCTCCTCTCCCAGCTGCCCACAAGTTGCCCAGAGGGCAGCACCAGCTTCCTCACAGTCCCCAGCTGCCACACTGCAGCCAGGGGATAGTTTCAATCCACTCATTTTCCCAAGGCCCTAGCCACTTTGACATGCAGGACAAGCCATGTTCCAGACCTGTCCCCAGAGGCCCCAGTCCTGGGTGGCCAAATGGCCCTCACCCTTCCCAGCCCCACTGCACTTAGAAGAAAACCCTCTCTCCTCCTGGGGACTGCCAGGCGGCCCTCCCAGCACTCACCTTGCCTCCCCTGCCCCAGCCCCTCTGCCCGCCCGGTCAGGTCCCCTCTCTCCGGGTGCTGCCCTACCCCAGGCCTCTGCACCTGCAGCTCCGCTGGCTGCTGGGGCTGTCCCTCCTCCCCCACCATTGTTTACTGAGCGCCACCTTTGAGGCCTTTCCTGCCCTGCCTCCCCCATCTAGGGTCAGTCTTGGCCCCTGTCCTTGGGGTCCCACTCACAGCAATAGAGGGACTCTCAGGGCTGCCTTCAGGTGATCCTGAGTGCCCAGGGGCAAGGTCTTTCTGGACCAGTGGAGAGGGATTGGGCACAAGCTGTGTGAGCTTTAAACGCTCAATGTGGGCCCCAGAAGGCCCCACTGGATGGGGACCTCACCTCCACCGACTTCCAAACCTGCCCTCCCAGCCTGCTCCAGCCTGGGCCTCACCTAGGATCTGCAGGTCCTGCTGGCTGAGGTCAGGGGGCTGCGTTGGCTCGCCCCAGGCACCTCAGGGACCTGAGCCTGGGCTTGGAGATGCCACCCCCTAGCCCCCAGAAATGGAGAGGCATCAGGGCAAGGTCCTGTGGAACTCTGAAGGCAGACCCAGGAGGGCTTCCCAAGAGAGGCTGTGATATCAACTACAGCACTTGCCAGACCCACGCCTCACACTGCACACCGATGCCCATTTTACAGATGAGGGAGCTGGCTGCCTGCAGGGCACTGCTGGCCCATACGATGCCTTTCTGAGACTCCACCCTCCAGATGGATGTAGCCTGGGTCAGGGAGCCTGACCTGGCAGTTGGTGGGGGTGGGCTGGACTTCAGCTCCCACGTGCCCTCTTGGCTGAGTGAGTGCCTTGTATAGTTCACAACCTGCCCAGCTGTACTCAGTGGCCCTGGTCACCTGGCTAATAGACAGAGGGGCTAGGAGATTGAAACCCAGTATAGTGTGGTCCCTGACTCTGTTCTCAAGTCTCCCAAGTCAGGGCCTGTCTGGTAGGGGTCAGTCCATGGCTGAGGGGGCCCTAGGCGGAGCAGGCTGCACTGCATACATTAGAACCTCTGCTCCTCAACACAGAACTGGAAATGCAGGGCGTCATGGCAGGCAGCATTAACACCAGCCTGTGCATGGCCCAGCAGCACGCCCCAGTGGTGGCTGGTCTTCCCCACAAGGCATGGCTGCGCTGGGCAGAGAGGAAAGCCAGCTTGGGTCCTCTTCCAGCTGGAGAAGCATCAGTTTGGGCCATGGGAGGCTGATGTTGGGGCCACCCATCTGGGTGTGGAGTTCAGGAACAGGCAGTCGTGGAGAGGGGAAGACAGAGGGTGGAGGGCAGAAGGGCTGAGCAGCAGATAAAGACCCTGTGGAGGAGAGTGGGTCGCCACAGACACAGGGCCAGGGCAGGGGTGTAGGGAGCAGCCCCGAGCCCTACAGTGCCCACTTTTCTCCATCCCCGCTTCTGCCACCCTTATCCAAGCCAATAAAAATCATCAGCTTCCAGAAGAAAACACAGGAGAATATTTTAGTGACTATGATGTTGGCAAATATTTCTTAAGCAGGGCCCCAAATTCACCAATCATAAAATTACAGATTGGTAAATTTGACTTCCCTAAAATTAAGAATTCCTGTTCTTCAAAATACAGTATTAAACAGAAACAAGGTGACTGGGCGCAGTGGCTCACACCTGTAATCCCAGCACTTTGGGAGGCTGAGGCGGGAGAGTCACCTGAGGTCAGGAGTTTGAGACCAGCCTTCCCAACAGGGCGAAACCCCGTCTCTACTAAAAATACAAAAAATTAGCCGGGCGTGGTGACACATGCCTGTAATCCCAGCCACTCAGGAGACTGAGGCAGGAGAATCGCTTGAACCCGGGGAGTGGAGGTTGTGGTGAGCCGAGATGACGCCACTGCACTCCAGCCTGAGCAACAAGAGCGAAACTCCATCTCTAAATAAATAAATAAATAAATAAATAAATAAATAAATAAGAAATAAGGCAAGACACAAACTGGAAGAAGATATGTGTACCACACTTACCACACCAGGCTGGTCCCCAGAATACATAGAGAACCAATCGGTAACCATAAGAACCAGGCCAATAATCCAACAAAAATGTACAGAAATCGGATACTTCACAAAAAAATGACATCTGAACATTCAGTAAGTATGAAATGTATCCAGATGTGTCATCAGGAAAATGTCCTGAAAATCGTATGGTCCTGAAGACCACTTCACCCATGTAGTGACCATGACTTTGATGTTCTGTGTTTTGTTGCTTTTGACACCTGTGGCCTTGCCAAGCCTGGAGGGACCACCTCTCTCAGGGCTGACCAGTCCACGGAGACAGGAAATGACTCACCCTGGCCTCCGAGCTTGCCCTCAGCTCACCTTTCAAATGCAAACCACCCAATCCACTGTCCACACCCCAGCCAGACCCTCTATCGGACTTTCACACTCAGGACCTATCCCCCCAGGGCCAGGACCAGACAACCAGGGGCAGGCCTTTGTCCAAGAGCCCCGAAATTATTCCAAAACAAATCAGCCCTACACCTGCTCACCGCCTCAACCTGAATTCCCATGGGAACCACAATGGAAACTCCTGCCCTAGGGCCCTACTCTGTCTGCCTCCTGGCCGACCTGGGACTTCCCAGTGTGGCCCTTCGTGGAGTAGGGACTGTGAGTAACATACTTTCTTTTCTGTGGCACTCAGACCTGACTACACGTGGGTGCCACAAGGGAGGGCTCCCTGCTAGGCCCCAGCCCCTCCCACCCACCGAAGTCCACTCACCCTCTGGAGTTGCCACCGCTAGACTCGCTGGGCTGGCTGCCTTGCTGGGGGCTGCTCAGGTAAGACAGGCTCCGCCCCAGCCGCAGAAATCTCCAGGGCTTCTTTGTGCCCTGACCCTCTGGAGAAAGCAGAGGAATGGTTTCTGAACCCTGTGCAGGGCGGAGCCGGGCTCCTCAGGCTGGGGGCGGCAGCTCACCTTTGGCCCACACAGAGCTCGCCTTGCCCTTGATCCCTGGTCCTGCAGGAAGCAAAGGGGGGTCCCGATGGCCTCAGCTGCAGCCAAGCTTCAGTGATGCCACGTGGCCCAGATGCCTGCAGGTAACCTGCCAGCTGGACTCAGGGTCTCAGTGGGCCACTGGCAGAGCCCGCATGGGAACCCACATTCTCTTTTCTGCTACCTTTGTCCCCTGGTGTGGAGTTAACACTGCCGTCTTTGGAAGCCTCGGAGATCTCCTTGGTGTTTTTGAGAAACAAGCGTTTCTTTTCCTGTTCTTCAAGCCACTCCTTGGGCGACAGCTTGTATAGGAAATCCTTGTAGACCTTGTAATGCTGCAGAGTGTCTTCAAATCTGGAGATCTCACTACATCGGGGTGGGGTGGGGGGTGGGAAAGAGGAGGTCAGCCTCTGCCACAGTGAGGTCCCCATGCCGGGGCCACACCTCCATCCTAGCCAAGTCTGTGTGGGCTCCTTGTTTTCCTTGAGAAAAGGTGTAGGAATGCCACATGCTGGAAGATGGGCACCCACCCTGCAACAAGCAGAGTCACAGCCTTTTGTGACTTGCAAGTTCGTCTCCACCCTGGAGACCGCACCTCTCTCAGGCTGTAGCTGGGCGAGCCTTTGAGCCAAACTGCCTGCCTCCAAGTGGAAGCTTTGGGAGTCACTGAATCTCTCTTGGTCTCACTCCCCTTGTCTATAAATGGGCAACAGCCTTATGGAAGCACTGAGTCCCTGGGAGGTAAAGCCATGAGGTTCACATGGCGCTAGGCTCCCTTTGGCCAGACAAGATGACTGAGGGACCAGGAGGTGGGCCAGTCAATGGCCAGCATGCCCTCTGACCTCACCTTTTGATATTAACAATCTGGGTGGTCAGGTCCCGGATTTCAAGGATCTTCTCTATCTTGGCTTTGGTCTCCTTCTCAGCCCTAGGAGTTGGGCGTGGGGGAGGAGGGATGGGGGCAGGGGGCCAGTGGCAGCCTATTAAAGAGGGGTGAGCCCACCACCCACAGGCCCCAGGGTTGTGCCCGGCTCCGGACAGGGCTGGAGAGCCACAGAGTTAATCCTTTTGCCTGTAGTATCCCCTGCCCTTGGCTCCCGACCAGCCCTGGTGCTTCCAGAAGTGTTGTAGGGGCTGGGGGCAGAAGCTGGGTGAGGGGATGGATGAGTGGGTGTGCACAGGCCCAGGGACAGTGGGGGTTCGGCATTGCCCAGCCAGCCCCTCGGGCCTGCAGGCTCACGCTTTCATGGCCTGCACGGAGCTGCAGTCGTTCTCCCTGAGGAACTCGTCGAACAAGGCGGCATCCTTCGCCAGGGACTTCTCGGCCTGCTGCAGCCTGGCCTCCTCTTCGGTGGCCAGTGTCTCCAGCCGCTGGATCTCTCTCCGTTTGCAATCCAGGGTATACTGGGGGCCAGTAGAGTGGGGTCATGGTGCCTGGCCCAGGCCAGCCCCTGCTGGCATCCCTTGAGCTGGGGGCTGCGGGACCTACCTGGAGGAGGAACATTTGCCGCTTCTGCTTAAGGTAGCCACTCATGTTCTCAGGTTCCACATTCTTTTCTGCTGGAAGAAGAGGGAGGTGAGCAGGAGCGGGAAGCCCAGGCTGAGGAGGGGCCTGGCAGGTCTGCAGAGAAGCCTTCCGCTGGCTGCTGGGCACTGCTTTGCGTCCACGCCCAGGTGATTACCGGGACCATGGAAGGGAGTGTTCTTGTCCTCTGTCTCCACAAAGAGAGAAGGCTCTGCCTGAAATGTTACATTCTCCATGGCCAGAGTCCGGCCAGGTGGGAAGTCCTTACTGTGTCTGACTTGCGCCTCTCTAAGTTTTTCCCACACATAGCTACCTGTGATGGAGTTATATTAGATCTATGAATTAGGCACAGTCAGAGATAATAACGACTCATAAAAATAGAACAATTATAACAATATGCTGTAATAAAAGTTAGGCAAATTGTCTCTTTCGCAAAATATCTTACTGTATTGTACTCACCTACTTTCAGCTCCGGCAACTGATGCCAAGGAAAGAGAAACCAAGGATAAGGTGGGGAACTATCCTATTAGGATTGAAAAGCTTTTAGGCTTGCAGTCCTGGAATAGAGCTTTGGGACCCCCCTGGAGGGGCCAAACACAGAAAAGGCGGGCCTTTCCAAAGCACTTCCCATCTGTGCAAGACGAGTGGCACCGAGGTTCCAAGCGCCCCATGCGCTGCGGCTGTGGGGCGCCACTGGCCCAGGTTCCCCCGCGCCGGAGGGGACGCACCTTTGGTCAAGGTGAGCTTCCAGGTATTGTAGTCGCGGAAGGCGCGCAGATGGTCTGCCTCGGTGCGCGCCTCCAGGTCCTCCTGCTTATCCTCCAGCTGCAGCTGCCGTCGCAAGCTGGTGCGCTTGGCCAACACTTTGGAGGAGTAGGTCATCTTCTCGTGCACTCGCATCGTCTTCTGCTGCTGCCGCTCCTGGGGGCGTCGGGCCAAGTCGGGCGGGGCCCGGGCTCCCCACCCGCGTCCACTCCTAGGGGCGCGCGGGCCTGAGGCCCGGGACGCGGGTTTGCGCGCAAGCGCGGGAGGATGCCCGTGGAGCTACGCAGCGCGGGGACACGAGGGCCTGAACACAGCAGCCCCGGGCTGACAGGCAAGCAGGCAGGGCAACTGTTGGGGAGGCCAGTTGCCCCTGAGAAGGGCGCCAGTCAGGGTCCCCTGGTCAAACACAGGCTGCCCGGTCGAATGAGTACTCCAGACCCACAGAGGGGACACGCTCACCCGAAAAGATGATGTCTCATTTTATCCGAAATCCACATTTAAGTGAGAGTCGTATATTTTGATGACCAGCCCAGGGCAGGGAACCTAGAGGCTCTGGGGTTCCCGAAGACTACGGCTGTGTAGTGGGTGTAGCCTAGCTGGAAGGTCACCGTTGGTGGCCATCTCCACCTGCTCTCCACCCCACTCCAGCTCCTGTGCGGCCTGGGGGTGGCTTCGAGCCAGCCCTCCCTTGGGAAAAAACCCTCGGAGGAGGGGGAAGGTTGGACTCACCTCCCCACATCCCCACCCTGCCCTGTGTCCCTCTTGCCATCTGATTCTCACGGTAGGGATATCCCCTGCCAGCTCCACACCCTCTCCCACTTTACTGCACCGGCCCGGGAGTCTCTTCATATGGACTTTCTAGGGTCACTTCTGTTTCCTGCTGGGACCTACCAGGTACACAAATGGCATCTAAGAACCCAGGCAAATGGGTCCAGCCTGAGGCCCCTGGAGTGCATGTCCCCATCACTGCAGTCAGGAAAATGTCACCTACTAGATCCTCAGGGTACAAGGTGGCCTTTAGAAGACATTGGGCAGCTGACTGAGGGCAGGGCCAGACTGAGGGGGACCCTGTCGGGAGTGGGAGGTGGTGGCGGTGAGTGTCAGACCCTGCTGGGTGGGGAAGGGTATAAGTGGGAGAACCTGCTGGGTAGGGGAGGTTGTGAGTGGGGTACCCTATGGATGGGGGAGGGTATGGTTTGGTGACCCTGTTGGGTCGGTGAGGTTGCGGTTCGTTGACCCTATTGCGTGGGTGAATATGGCGTTTGGTGACCCTGTTTGGTGTGGTGGAGAGAGTGTGTTGGATGAGACTCTTAGTGGAAGGCGGGGGAGGTCCTGAGCTAGGGCTGGGCTTGAGTGTAGAGGAAAACCGAGTGCCTCATTGGAGAAGATACAGTAGGTAGCCAAGGCGTGGGTCAGAGAATCTCTGGGTCTCAGTCAGTCTAGGAATCACAGCCCACAGGCTCAGCCCTGGTTTCTGATGTGGAGGCCTGGGCAGGCTGAAGCCTGTGCATCTCCACCCATGCCCTGCAGATGCCAGTGTAGCTGTTGCTGCCTTGGGAACCACGGCTGTGAGGAATCCCTGAGACGCTGAGCCCTGAGTCGGGGGAGGTGGATGGAGGCTGTGGGGCAGCCCAGGTGCGACCCTGGGAAGGCTGCCATGCCTGGCACATGGGGCAGGGCTAGGTGCCCAAGGCAGCAAGAGTGGGCTGTCCCCACTCCAGGCTCATAGCTGTCAGGGCTGGGAAAGCAAGAGGACAGGCTGGGGTGAAGATGGGGCAAGAGTGGGGTCGGTGCTGGTCCAGGGACCCTAGGCACCTAGGGGAGCATGTGTATGCGTGCCATGGGTGACTCTGTGTGCGGATCTGACCTGCAGGAGTCCAGCCAGAGGGAGGGCACAAGGCCTGAGCATAGGGGGTGCCTGTGGGATGGGAGAGGGCCTGTGAGGGCTGAGCTGGGCCTTGGAGGACCCAGAGAGTATCAGGAGGGGATGGTGTTTCATGTAGGTGGCATTGGAAGTGGCGGTGAGGTGGCTGAGGCTGTTGCCACGGCAGCCCAAGAAGTCTATCTGACTGAGACCCAAGAAGAGTGGTGACAGACAGGGGAATATGGGTGGGACACTGTGAGTCCTGAGAGCCAAGGAGAGTTTCCAGCTGATTTTGTAGGAAGTGGTGAGCCATTGACTATTCTGGAATGAGAAGGACCTGAGGAAAGTGCTCCTCCGAGAAGGGCAATGTGGCCACTCCAGGAAGCAGTGGGAGCAGGGAAGCTCCTGGAGGTGCTGGCGTCTGTCCTGGATACTCACGGAGAGAGCCTTATTCCGCTCCTGATCTCTGAGCAAGAAGAAATCCACATCCCCAGACAAGTGGAAAGGATTCGCCGAAGGGTCAGGACCATGCTCTGGAAAGGGAGACACCTCGCTGGAAAGGCGAGCCAGCTCTTCCAGGCGGTGGTCTGTGTCTCCGGGGCCCCACTGCCCACCCAGCCCAGCATGGAAAAGCATGAGTGAGTGGGAAGGTTCTCCTGGATCCAGCTGTGCTTAAAGTCCAACCCTGGACCTTCCAGCTCCATAAAGGCACCTCTGTAGTTTAACTTGGTTTAAGTTGGGCTTCTGTCCCTGGCGCCTGAAAGAGAGCTGGTGAGCACAGCCTTGTCTCACACATCTGCCTTCAGTCAGCCCTCACTGCAGGCCTCTGGAGTCTCCCTTATGGAGGAGGGAGGCTGAGCCTGCTGTTTGTCAGTGATGGGCCTGGTGACCAGGGTCTGCTGACACTGAACTCACGGCCCTTGCTGTGGGCCTCCAGGTGAACTTGCATCTGTCTTTTCAGGCCTCTCAGTCCTCCCAGGGAAGGCCAAGAACAAAGTACTTCAGACCTGGGGAGGGACCAGAGGCCCAGAGAGGGGCTTGTGAAGGTTTGCTTTGCAGGGTGGACTCTCGTCCCACTCATAATTCTACACACTGACTGCAATTCGGAGACGGAGCTGATGCCAGCGGCCTCCCTGTGAGCCTCAGGCAGCCAAGAAGTCAGGTGGAGAGGGTAAACTGAGCACATGGGCTGCCTTCCCCGCCAGCCCAACACCAACCCCCCAGAAACGTTAGAAAACAAATGTAAAACTCCAGTACGGCTCTGGAAGACAGGGAGGGTGGCTCTGGTGTCACAGAAGTTGTTAGGAAGCTCTGGGAGAGGGCAGGCAGGTGGGATGGGGTGAGGAGGTGCAGCCTGGCACAGCTGCCGGGACAAGGGCGTGGAGAACAGTGTGAGGCTCCAAGGCTCTGGGTGGCAGACACTGGGACACAGGCAGCTGGTGGAGGAACTGCCAGGCACTTGCTTCACCTTCCCAATCTGCACTTGCTCTTGCTCCCTGCTCCTGTCCAGCAACTCAATCAGGGAAGAGGTGTTTGCCCTCAGTTAGGAATCGTGGGACCTGGTGCTTGATCACAGGGGCAGAGAAGTAAAATTCTTTATGCTCCCAAACTGGCGATGAGCACATATGGGTGGCCCATCCCATGTCCCCATCACAAAAGCAAATGGATAGCTAGGAAGCACCCAGCACTTGCCATGGGCCAGACTGGGGACTTTCCATGATTTAATGTTTCTGACCGCCCAAGGAGGTGGAAATTATGGTTACTCCCATTTTACCTGTGAGGAACTGAGGCTTGGAGCAGTCAAATACTCTGCCAAGGTCCCATAACTGTAAGTAGCTATGGGGAGACTGGCTTAAGAAGTCAGGCACTGCACCTGCAGTCTGGTGACTTGGGAGTGGTCAGAATTCATGTGAAGATGATTGACGTGTTTAGGTGAAGATGAGCCCGCCCCAAAAATGGCAGTCATTTGAGGCGAATCATTCCAAAAATGCAGAGGTGGTTGAATGTTTTTAAGCCAATCAATGTAATACCTTCCATTAACAGAATAAAACAGGAAATGATACAATCATTTCAAGAGATGCAGTAAAATTATTTGATAAAATTCAAAGCTTATCTTTGAATAAAACTCTTAGCAACTAGGAATAGAAGGGAACCCCCAAATCTGATAAAGGGTATTATGCTTTGGCTGAGTAACAGCCCCCAAAGATGCCCGTGTCCTAATCCCCAAACCTGTGATAGTGTCACCTTCTGTGGCAAAAGGGCTTTTGCAGATGTGATTGAGCTAAGGATCCTGAGGTGTCCTGGCGTGTCCGGGTGGGCCCAGTGTAACCACGCGGGTCCTTGTAATTGGGAGGCAGGAGGGTTAGGGCAGAACGAGGAGTGCAGGAAGAGAAGCCAAGGTGGAGTAATGTGATAGAAACACACGGAAATAAATAATCTGCTCTTGAATGACATCTGGGTTAACAAGGAAATCAAAATGAAAATTTAAAAATTCTTTGAATTGAATGATAATAATGAGATAAGTTATCAAAACCTCCGGGACACAGAAAAACAGTCCCCAGAGGAAAGTTCATAGTGTTAAATGCCTGCATCAGAAAGTCGGAGAGAGCACAAATTGACAACCTCATGTCACACCTCAAGGAACTAGAGAAACAAGAACAAACTAAATCCAAACCCAGCAGAAAAGAAATAGCAAATATCAGACCAGAACTAAATGAAATGGAAACAAAGGAAATACAAAGGATAAATGAAACAAAAACCTGGTTCTTTAAAGAAAATGAAATTGGTGTAGACCACTTGCCAGATTAACCAAGAGAAGAAGAGAGAAGATCGAAATAAACTCAATTAGAAATGAAACTGGAGATATTCATCCACCACCACAGAAATACAAAAGATCATTCGAGACTACTACGAACATGTATGTGCACAAACAGAAAACCTAGAGGAAACTGGTAAATTCCTGGAAACATACAACTCTCCCAGATTAAATCAGGAAGAAATAGAAACCGTGAACCGACCAGTAACAAGTAGTGAGATTGAATCCATAATTTAAAAATTGCCAACAAAAAAAAGCCCAAAAGCAGACGGATTCACAGCTGAATTCTACCAGACATTCAAAGAAAGATTGGTACCAATCCTACTAAAACTATTCCAAAATATTGAGAAAGAAGAGATGCTCATAGAATCAAACCAGTATCACCCTGATACCAAAACCAGGAAAGGACAAAAAAAACAAAACAAAACAAAACAAAACAAAAAACTACAGATCAATTTCCCTGACGAACATAGATGCAAAAATCCTCAACAAAACATTAGCTAACTGAATCCAGCAGCACATCAGAAATATAATTCATCAAGATCAAGTGCGTTCCATCCCAGGGATGTGGACATGGTTCAGCATACACAAGTCAATATATGTGATACATCACATAAACAGAATTAAAAACAAAAACTACATGATCATATCAAAAGATGCAGAAAAAGCATTCGACAATATTCAGCATCCCTTTATGATAAAAACTCTCAACAAACTGTGCTGCTACCTTTGAAGACAGAGTGAGAGGCTTGAGCCAAGCGATGCGGGCGGCCACGCCTAGAGGTTGGAAAAGGCAGGAAGATGGGTTTTTCTCCCAGCCTCCAGGAGGAAGGCAGCCCTGCCAATGCTTTGGTTTAGTCCTACAGGACTTCTGACTTCCAGAACTGTAAGATGAGCTATTTGTGCTGTTCTAATTGAGTTTGTGGTGATTTGTCACAGCAGCAATAGGAAATAAATACATATATCTACAAGAAACCTTCAGATGAGATACTGAATGTCCCTCCACCCATGTAGGATCAGACCAGGAGCAAGGCAAGGATGCCTGGTCTTGACATTGCTATTCTGCATTAAAATGAGGGTCCTCACTGGGGGAGTGATTCAAGAAAAAGGAATAAAAAGGTTGGACATGGTGACTCATGCCTGGAATGCCAGCACTTTGGGAGGCTGAGTGGGAGGATCACTTGAACCCAGGAGGTCGAGGCTGCAGTGAGCCGAGATGGCACCACTGCACTCCAGCCTGGGTGGCAGAGTGAGACCCTGTTTCAAAAAGAAAAAAAGAAAGGCAGAGAAGGTATAAGGATCACAAAGGAAGAGAAAATAATGCCATTCAAGGTGGCATGATTGTTTAGTAGAAAACCCAAAGGAATCTACAAATGAAATGGTTACAATTAGGTCAATTAAGATGTGGTTTGTAGGTCTTATTGTGAAAGTAAAACAAAAAGTTGTAGAAGACACAATCAGAGGATATCATGACCTTGGGGCTCACTAAAGAGTTTTAAAATAAGACACTAAAAGCCATAACGAAGAAACGATTGAGCTACATGAAACTGAACTACACTAAAATTAGGAACTTTTTTTTTTTTGAGATGGCGTCTTGTTCTTTTGCCCAGGCTGGAGTGCAGTAGCGTGATCTTGGCCCACTGCAACCTCCGCCTCCTGAGTTCAAGCAATTCTCCTGTCTCAGCCTCCTGAGTAGCTGGGACTGCAGGTGCCCACCACCACACCCAGCTAATTTTTATAGTTTTAGTAGAGACGAGGTTTCATCGTATTGTTCAGGCTGATCTCAAACTCCTGATCCTAGGTAATCCACCTGCTTCGGCCTCCCAAAGTTCTGGGATTACAGGGGTGAGCCACTGTGCCCAGCCAGGAACTTTTTATTGGTGCCTTTTAGAACTGCGCAGAGAGTAAAAGGCAGTTCCAGGAGTGGGAGAATATATCTGTCATCCTTAGAACTAGCAAGTGACTTCTACCCAGTAAAGAGCTCCGATAAGTCATTAAAATAAACAGGCAGTGCAACAGACAAGTGGGCAGAAGATGGAAACAGGTACGTCCCAACACAGAATCATCAAATGACCCAGAACCATGTGAAAAGGGAATGGACCTCCTGGGTTACCAGGAAATATGAGATACTAACATATACCCAGAGGACAAAGTCATATTAAAAGGATCAACAGTGTCCCAAGTTGGAGAGGACACAGAGCAACTGGAAGTCGTATGCCTGTTGGTGGGACTGGGAATTGGTACAGTCCCTCTGGAAAACTTCATTTATCCACTAAAGTTAAACACACAACCAGCAATTCCACTCTTGGGTGTGTACCCAGGAGATGCAAGTGTCCCCAAAGTGACATGTACAAGACTTCATAGCAGCATTATTTATAAAAACTGGAAACAACCCAAATGTTCACCAGTAATAGAAAGAATAAATGCTTGGCATATGCACAGAAGGGACTCTGGCTAGGTGCAGCAATGTGGATGCCTCTCACAGACCGGATATTGAGTGAAAGCTGAAACTGAAAGGCTAGAGAGTGTGTGATTCCATTTACAGGAGGCTGGAGAGGAGAGCCAGTGGTTTGGTGGGGATAGCTGAAGAGTGGCTGTCTGTCCGGGAAGGATAATTTCTGGGGAGATGGAAATGGTCTAGATCTTCATAGGGTGGAGGAAACACATTGTACACATTTGTCAAAACTCACAAACTGGGCCAGGTGCTGTAGCTCATGCCTATAATCCTAGCACTTTGGGAGGCCGAGGCCAAAGCACTAATTGAGCCCAGGAGTTTGAGACCAGTCAAAGCAATATGGTGAAACCCTGTCTACAAAAAATACATAAATGAGCCAGGTGTGGTGGTGCGCACCTGTTGTCCCAGCTACCCGGCAGGCTGAAGCAGGAGGATCGCTTGAACCCAGGAGGTTGAGGCTGCAGTGAGCTGTGATCGAACCACTGCACCACAGCCTGGGTGACAGTGAGACCGTGTCTCAAAAAAAACAAAGGGATAGATGGGTGACTGGGTGAATGGCTGCCGTGATAGTTTGTGCGGAGGGTCAGGTGCTCACCCCCAGGGCTCTCTCCCTCCCGTGCCTCTGCATCCACAGCAGATGCAGGTGCTCCCTCTGCCCATGAGAAGAGCCTGGTGACCAAGGGGAGCCAGGATCTAGTCAAGCACCTGGGGCTAATGTCCAAGGGCAGGCAGGATGGGCCCAGAGAAGCAGCCCCAGTGCCAGCATCAGGAAGCAGACACACAAATGCAGAATGGGGACACTGGGCCCTGCTGCAGGAGAGGCGACACCACTGCTCAACAAGTCAAAGGCCCGAGAGTGATGGGATGGGCCAGGGAATGGGCTGCTAGATTCACAGAGACTGAAGGAGCTCAGGTCTCCTTTGAATCCTGATTAGAACGAATCTTCTACAGAAGATGTTTCTGAGATAACTGGGCCAGTCTGACCATGGGTTGGGCTGGTTCACTTTGTCAGGTGTGGTGATGGTGCTTGGGTTTGTGCGGAACACCCCTATTGTTGAGAAGTGCACACTGAGGTGGATGAAATGACATGTCTGGATTTTACTTTAAAATATCCTGGCAAAGAAAAAGAGGGAAAGGACAGAGGAAGCAAATGGGCACATTTGAGTCAGTGGCAGAACCTGGTGGTGGGCCTGTGAGGCTCGCTGGCTCCAATCTCTACATCTGGATATGTTTGAATTTTCATTTTATAATTCCATAATAATAAAAGAGAGGAAATGTGGTGGGGAGAGGGGTGGGAGCCTGGGCCATGGAGCACAGGCTGGGAGAAACGCTCACATCTGCAGACCTCAGCAGAAGGACCAGACTGGTCTGTTAGCCCAGGGGCAGAGTGGGAGACAGCAGGGAGTCCAGGCAAGGGAGGTCGGAGCCACAGTGCAGGAGGTGGCGATGCCCTGTGCAGGGCTACCAGGGTGAGGTACATGCAGCTAGCTAGCTGCCTGCCCTCCTTCCTCCTAACGGTGGCAGCAGTGTGCCCTCCTTGTAGATCCTGATGGCCATATGGCAAATTTAGCTGCTGGAATGTGGGAAGACATTGCTGCTTGGGACTTTGGGGAAGAATCCTTTCCCCTAGAAGGCTAAGTTGACTGGAGGGTAGTTTTGCCCTTCCCTTTGTTCCTTTCTCTGCCTGGAATCAGATGTGCTGAGGCTGGAGCTGCAGCAGCCATTTTGTGAGCATGAGACAATCTTGTGGTTGAAAGCCCTAATTCCTTTCTGGTGGAGCAGAGAGACTTGGGGACTTGGTCACCTGAAAGGTTCTATGGAACGGCTGTTTATGGAGCCTCAGGAAAGCCTGCTCTCCCTCCCACATTTCTCATTAATAGAGGGAGCAATAAGTCTTACTTTGTTTACGTGCCTGTTATTTCAAGTCTCTGTAATCCAATTCCTAATGGAAAGAGAAGCATTTCCTTCTGCCCTTAGCTCTCAAGACCTGGTCTGAGGGGGTCTGGGGGCAGAGGGAGAGGAGTTGCCTCCTGCCAACTTGGACTTTAGCCTCCCAGCTTGAAGGTTACCTTTGGGTTTTTTTGCCTGTTTCTTTGGGTTCTCTTCAGCGCTTGAGGAAGAGCTGATGTTCATGGATTCCAGGCTGTTCTCTGAGGAGACACAAAAGTGAGGGCCGCAGCAGTGACTCCCCTGGCCCATGAGAACTGTGAACACAGCCTGAGGTGGGGAATGTCTCAGACACACAAGGGTTCAGCGTCAGCTCCCTCCCCTGTGAGACTGAGGGCTCTAGGTCCCAGACGATCACCCTGACTTTGCTGGGAAGTTGTGAGAATTGTGCAAGAAAATAGCCTGGGAATTCCCTAGCACCTGTGCCTGGTGCACAGATGTTTTGTGCCTCTCCTTTCCCATCCTTCAGTGTGTGCCTTAAGAGTAGCAGTGCAAGGCTGTTTTACAGATGGACATACTGGGACCCAGGGAGGACAATGACACTAAGCCTCTGACCCTGGCTTGGCCAGTACCTTGCCTCCCAGGGGCTTCCTGCAGGACTTGGATGGAGGACCCTAAGACCCCGCCTCCTCAGGGAGCTCCCACCCCTATCCCACTGTGAGGAGTGGCCCTTCTGACCAAGCTAGGAAACTGGAGTTGTGCTGCCTGGAAGCTACAGCCGATTTTCTCCCCAAGGCCAGCAAGTCTCCTCCCCGTCCGGGGTGGGCTCCCCAGCACCCTGCTTCTTCAGGTGACTACTCAGGTGTTACTGCTGGGTCCCCAATGCCTTGCAGTTCTCTTCAACCAATACCCATAGGGAAGGAGGCATGTGGCCTGACACCTCCTCCATTCCCACCCAGGAATCCTCTGTAGCTTGGAGATCCTGGTCAGTGCCTGAGGGACAGGGACTGCCAGAACATGGTCTCTGGTGGGCTGCTCAGGGTGCCAGTCCTCCTGGGGTGGGATGGGGGAGGGGCTGTGTGGTCCCCGAGTGAAACAGTGAGCAGGAAGACAGGGCTTCTCTTGAGGTGGGGCTCTGATACCAAGGCCCAGGCCCTGAGCAGATGGTCATGGGGTGAGGGAAGAGTGAGGAAGATGGCGGGAGTCTTATGGGACAGGTGGGAAGGCCAGGCCTAGGCTGAAACTCAGAGGGCTTCAGGGCCACGCAGAATCCATAATGTATAGTCAGGGAGGCAGAGGCGGTTGGGAGGGGTGAGGCTGGGGAGAACTCAGGGGCTCGGCTGCTGAACCATGATTGTCCTCTAACTTTCTTAGTAGGCATGTGGTTAGATTTCCAGGTAGAATTTAATTAACCATATCATATACATCAGAAGATACCACTGTTATTTAAATAGACCAAAACCCAAACCACACAAACCGAAAGGCTATTAGAAATGAAAAAGCAATGGATCTAGATGAGGTCCCAGTTACTAGGGAGGCTGAGGGGGAGGATCCCTTGAGCCCAGGAGGTTGAGGCTGCAGTGAACCATGATCATGCCACTGCACTCCAGCCTAGGTGACAGGGTGAGACCCTGTCTCTAAAACAAGAAAGAATGAAAGAGCAATGCACATATATAGCACATATTTCAAACAACACAGGTTTGATGTATTGATATGATGAAATAGCCTCACCTGAAGCTTTTGATACCTATATATTTATTTTATTTTATTTTATTTTATTTTATTTTTGAGATGGCGCCTTGCTCTGTTGTCCAGACTGGAGTGCAGTAGCACGATCTCAGCTCACTGCAACCTCCACCTCCCAGGTTCAAGCGATTCTTCTGCCTCAGCCTCCCAAGTAGCTGGGACTACAGGTGTGCACCACCACGCCCAGCTTATTTTTGTATTTTTTGTAGATACGGGGTTTCACTATGTTGGCCAGGTTGGTCTCAAACTCCTGACCTCGGGTGATCCACCTGCCTTGGCCTCCCAAAGTTCTGGGATTATAGGTGTGAGCCACTGTGCCCGGCCAAGATTTTTGCAGATCTGACTAGAAGTATTTTATGCACTGTTTTTTTTACCTGTTTCTTTGGCAAAAGAACATACACTTATATGCCCTTGCTTTTTCACTAAAAAACTCACCTGCTTACACACAAAAACGGAAATGAACCTTATGGACATTACACTTAGTGAAACAAGCCAGCCCCAAAGGACAAATGCTGTATGCTGCCACTCACAGGAGGTCCCTAGAGCATTCAGAGACTAAGTAGAACAGTGGTCACCAGGGCTAGGGGAGGGGGAATGGGGAGCTAGTGTTCAGTGGGGATGGAGGTTCAGTCTGGCCATGAGAAGAGTTCTGAGATGGAGGGTGGTGATGGTCGCACAGCAATGTGAATGTGCTCAATGCCACTGAACCATACATTTAAATATAGCTAAGATGGTCAATGTTATGTGTATTTTATCACAATTTTAAGACTTGAAAGAAAGATCATCTGTGGCTGGGTGCAGTGGCTCATGCCTGTAATCCCAGTGGGAAGGCTGAGGTGGGTGGATCATAAGGTCAGGAGATTGAGACCATCCTGGCCAATATAGTGAAACCATGTCTCTATTAAAAATACAAAAATTAGCCGGGCATGGTGGTGTGCGCCTGTAGTTCCAGCTACTTGGGCTGAGGCAGGAGAATTGCTTGAACCCAGGAGGTGGAGGTTGCAGTGAACCGAGATCGTGCCACTGCACTCCAGCCTGGGTGACACAGCAAGACTTTGTTTAAAAAAAAAAAAAAAAAAAGCTGGGCACAGTGGCTCACGCCTGTAACCCCAGCACTTTGGGAGGCCAAGGCGGGTGGATCACAAGGTCAGGAGTTTGAGACCAGCCTGACCAACATGGTGAAACCCCGTCTCTACTAAAAATACAAAAATAAGCCGGGCGTGGTGGTGCATGCCTATAATCCCAACTACTCGGGAAGCTGAGGCAGGAGAATCACTTGAACCCGGGAGGTGGAGGTTGCAGTGAGTCGAGATCGCGCCACTGCACTCCAGCCTGGGTGACAGAGAGAGACTCTGTCCCAAAAAGAAAAAAAAAAGAAAAAAAGAAAATTCATCTGTTCACGCACAAGTCTCATCCATACTTAGCCAAGTCCCTCGGAGGACCCTGGGGTTTTTTTTCTAACATCTTTTGCAATTTCCGAATTTTTGTAATGGTTACTCTTATAAAATAAAATTTCAGAATGCTCTAAATTTATTAGGCCAAGGAGGAAGTTAAGCCCTGGCACCTGACGTACATAACCTGTTTGCAGTTCTGCTTCTTAGGGAGTAACCCTCCTCCAGAGGTTGCAGTGAGTCGAGATTGCACCACTGCACTCCAGCCTGGGCGACAGAGCGAGACCATCTCAGAAACAAAACCTCATTGTTCCTGCTCTGTGAATGACCGGGAGACCGGACACCAGAACTCCCGCTTCCAATCACTAGACTTTGTTACAGATTAACTGCCTCTTTATTGTCCCATACCTAATTCAGAGCAGATGGCACCCAGGACCCCATGACAGTTGCATCTGCAGTGTGGAATGATAAATATACCTGTCCAGAGAGAAAAGGATCCCTTAGCAAGTCAGATCCTTGTAATGTGCATGCAGCCTTCCATAGAAGGATACTGAAATTCTGCTAAACTTCCCAAAGCTTTGTGTAGATAAACAATCTTAAACTTCTATACTTTGGAACATGGGCTTTCATTCTCTGGATCTCTGATTACTGGTGACCTGTCCTCAACTTTGTGCTTGGAGAAACTCTAAACCTGATTCTGACTCTTTTGGTTATTTTAGCTTGATACTCTCCCATCACCAACTTTAGTGGGACTGCTTTCCCTACACCGGAAACTGTCACTCTAACAGGTCACAAAGGGCATCTCAGCTTTCATTTGCATTTCTTAATTCGGAAGAAACTGTATGTCTTTTCGGATGTTAATTATCCATCTTCTTGCCTCATTCTGTGAGTATCCTTTGCCCATTTCTCTACTGAAGTGTTCTAGTTTCTAGATGATTCTTGAAAACCTTCATCTATTATATTGATGGACACTGGCTCATTTGTCAGATATGCTGAAAATAATTCTCCTTCAGGCAATTTGACTTTATCATTCATTTTCCTTGTATGAAAATTAAACTTTCACTTAAAGAAATGCTTTGGGGTTTAGTGTCTTGTTTAGAAAGGCATTCTGCCACTGAAGTTTAAATATTTTTTAGAAAATTATTGTGTTTTCTTCTAGTATTTTAACATGATTTAATTTTTTAACTTAAAAAGTCTCTATTAAGGTATAAGTCTACTTTTATAATAATTCAGGAGAAATAGGAAAAGAATGAACTGGTTGTGAAACTGTCTCATAAAAAAGGATAAAATAGGCCAGGTGCGGTGGTTCACGCCTGTAATCCCAGCACTTTGGGAGGCCGAGGCAGGCAGATTACTTGAGGCCAGGAGTCCAACAACAGCCTGGCCAATACAGCAAAACCCCATCTGTACTAAAAATACAATAATTAGCCAGGCATGATGGTGCACCTGTAATCCCAGCTACACTGGAGGCTGAGGCAGGAAGATCACTTGAACCGGTGAGGTGGAGATTGCAGTGAGCCGAGATTGCACCACTGCACTCCTGCCTGGGTGACAGAGTGAGACCCTGTCTCAGGAAAAAAAAAAAAAAAGATAAAATACACTTGACTGGGCACTCCATTCATGTGACATGAGTTCCGAACATCGGAAGGTCCCTGTATCGTCTATCCATCAGAGTCTTTTGGGCTGTGTCCTGGGCCATTCTCTCTCCTTTCCTCCTAGACGCCTCACCAGTGGCCATGGCTTCAGTTCCGGCCCCAGCAGATTTGCTGATGCCCTCATGTTTCCACCCACTCTCCTGACCTCTGGGCCTCCATCCACAGTAGCCTCTTCAGAGTCTCAGCTGGGAGTTTCCCACCAGACACTGACACCCACACATCGCCAACTGAGCTCCTGGCCTTCCCCCTTCTGTGGAACCTGCTCCACCCCTGGCCTTGGCCATCTCAGCAAACAGCACTGTGATGCACAGGTGTCACTGAGGAGACAAGGCATCCCCAACGCCCTCTTCTCCCTCATTCCATACCTGATCTCAGTCAGTCTCCAGACCCCACAGACTCTCTCCTGAGGAGCACTGGACCCAGCCACCCCTGCCACCTGCAGCCTATTTGCTGGTTCTCTGTGATTGCCTT